AAATCAATATGCCATATTGAAATAGATTTCTGAAAGACTATTTTTTGCAGTCACTATCTACAAATCCCAGACGCCGGGTCTGGAGAAAGACATGGAGAGGAAGGAAATAGGGAATGGAATCGGGACGCGAGAGATAGTGGAAAAGGAAATAGAGATGGAGGTAGATCATGAGGGATGGGATTAGAGCATTGATATGAATCATATTAGCGTCTCAATAGAGTGTTCGTGTCAAGCTCGTAATACAAATTACCGCTGGGAAAGGCTAAGAAAGGGCTTAGGAAGTTGACCCTCCGGATTTCAAAGCACCATTGATGCATTAAGTTGCTCCTCCTCCCTGCGGCAGGCAGGTTCAACACTGGTGCGATAGTGAGAGCAGTTTACAGCCTTATCGGCAGTGTCAAGCCTCCAAACATCACACTGAGTCTGAGAGCTCACACTGAACAACAGGAAAACAAAATTCAACTGAATTCTCCTGCAGGGCTTCCTAAAAGCACATCTAGTGATATAAGCAGAGTTGAGGTTGCCCTGTTGGGCATCAATCTGAACAGATGCAAACCTGGAGGTATCAGTCAATCTGATAGTGATAGAACAGAGCAAGAAATCGAAAACGAGAAAGCACATCAAGATGAGGCATTAGAGTCTGTGTCAGTGAGTCAGAGTGGGCGGGCAAGGAGGTACAAAGGTGTAGGACTCACCGCGCCACTGTCTGTTCCTCATCCTCTCTAGGCTCTTTGTCCTGACCTCACATGTCACTCAAGGAAGTGCATTTACCTGCCGACTATGTGCAGCAACCAATAACGCAATTCAATCTGTCAGGCCTCCAGCAATTTAAACGCTCGCAGCACCTCTCTGCAATGGTTACAAACCTCAAACCAAATAGGTGAGGAACAAGTTAATTAACATGTCCATCAGGGAGGCTTTCTTCACTGTTAAAGCGCCACTGTAATGGCCATGTTAGCTGAATAGCTCTTGATACGGGGAGTTATTTCAGCCTTTCTTCACCTGGCTTTAGTCAGCCATCAAGCAGCGTGGATGGCCTCGCGAAATGTCCTCTTCCAGTGATCTATCTTGTCAGTCAGCATAGCATGCCTACCGCAGGAGTTGGCCAATCACTCTCTGTGTAAATCTGCATGTAAGTGAAGAGCATATAAGAGAGTCACTAGAAGTAATACCTATGCTGAAGTTTATGCTTGGAATACTACTCAAGCAGTTCTAAGTGATTTCTATAAAATGTCATTGTTTGAGATGTCCTAAAATATCACTCAGACATCCCTATCCTTTACAAAAAAGTGTGGTTGGAATCTTTGTTTAGCCAGTCAGAAGACTTCGAGATGCTTTCTGCCTGTCAGTCATTCATCACATTGCTTTTGAAAACTTTTTTAACTTTGAAGAAGATGTGCTGCTGTTTTCTGACTACAAAGTCTGTTCAGGCAGGGTTTGGGACAGATTTGAGTGTCTATTTCAGTGGCTAAAAACCTGTTCACACCAAGGATGATAATATAAGGTTTTAATAATCGTTATAATTCATTATAATAATAATAAGAACATTGTTGAAGTCCACACTACAACGATAAAGAAGCAGCAGATTGATATCATTGTAATCCCTTTGAGAATATCTTTTTTCCAGCTAATGAACAAAAAGTGGTAGATGACAAAACTGCAGCACGCTTATAATAAACAGAACATTATCATCCATTGGTTTGGATGCTAATAGTTATTGTTATAGTTATCTTCGTAATGTTTAATCAAAATGGAATAACTTGCAGCACTTCTGAAATTACTTTCCATTTCAGCTGACATCATCAAGGCAGTATGAGCGGGGAAAACGGTCAAACACACATTGAACCATTCAAAAACACATTATTACAATTAGGCTGCCGATAAATAGGGGGGGGGGGGGGGGCAAATGGACCTTTTGTCCTAGGCTCAATTTTGACTGAGCAAAACTAGTGCTGCAAACTAGGGAAGCAGACAGAGATGGTGCAGGTGTGAGTTTTTAGCCGTTTTCCTCCTAAAACCCTTTTCCCCTACCTAAAATTAACCTAGAGCTGGCCTGCTGGCTTCAGTGTTTGCACTTTGAAGAAGGGTGAATATTTGAGAGGTCACGGTTGTGGTGGTGGCATTTCACTTGTGAACGCTTCCAAAATTCGAGGCAACATAAAATGGGGTTTGCTGAAGCGATGTCCTTAAAGTCAAGACAAAATCAAAATGGATGCTATTTACTTTTTAATGCACATTCTTCTTATTGTGCATGATTCACTGGTGCACATTACTCCAAATAAAAATGTTTTGCCTTCGTAAACTTCTATCAAAATGTAATAACTTGCCCTTCTGCCTCTGAATCAGAAATTACTTCCCTTTTCAGATGATGCTACGAATCCCTCTTACTTTCAACCCCTCGCCTACAGTCGCCGGAATTACTACGTAATTCACACTTTTAAATGATCCAGCCTATGAATGTCCGAACACCGTTTTACGTTCACATTAATTGCAGACACTGTGTAAATGCTTCTACAGGCCATGATCTTATTCACAAACTATCTGTGAATCCAAACAAAAATATTTGACCAATGGGCAAATACACTGTGGACACTTCAAACAATTGCAGTAATTAACATGCGGAGCTGCATCTCCTTGTTTAAACTGATTGTATAATGAACCACAAAGCATTCAGTGTGCGTTCCAATCAATCAGATCAGTCAATCTATCTATCTAATGCAAGTTTCATTTTTGTGTCTGTGTATATAATCATTGCTGTGAGTCTCTTGATCTAGATGCATAAATATAGCATTCCATCAGCAGATCCACATGGACATGATAAAAACTTTATTATTCATCATTCCTCTAATTAAGAGAGTTCGTTAACTCACTCTCTGGACCCAGCGGGGTTTATTTTGCTGATGAACACATAAGTAGTACGCAACGGAAATGCCAATTAACCCCATTTACGCTTCTAGGCATTCCACACCTGCAAAAAGACAGACTGCAATAAAAAAATACCTCCACAAAGAAACAGATGCCTAATATGACCAGAAAGACATACCGTCAAAACACAAATGCAAGAAAAAAATCCACTCTCGTGCACATATATATGCATGAAATACTGTATACTGTAGCCTACATGTAACAGTTGAAATGGATACAAGCATGGTCATTTAACGCTGAAAACCTAAATCGCTATTTCAAATGCAGCTGCAAAGGTGAGTCACACACACTAGGTTGATTGTCACTTTGCAGTATGTGTCAGCTATAAAGGAGATCTGACAGTTAGCACTCCGATATGTGAGTCTTCAAAGCAACATGAGGCTCCTAACACAGTATCAGTGAGTCTGAATAACCTATGCTTAAATTACAGGTGCATCTGTCACAAAGCTATCAAATGACTTAAAATGTCAAGGAGAACATCTCAGAAATAACAACAATATGCCAGACAATGCACAAACGGCATCAGTGAAATGGAATAGTGGCTAAAAGTTGGCACTTACAGACAGAGGCAGCCTTCACAGCATAATTGCTAAATGCCACAAAAGTATGGCTTAAATAAAACTCACAGGATTGAATCGACACCTCTGTGACCCAGAATAATACAAAGCTTCACATAAGCTATGCTTCACAAAGGAGGATTTTACAGAGCTATAGCTCAAAAAATGCTTGTTAAGCCAGCACACAAGGAGCACGAACCCTACAAAAAGAAATGTGGCTTGATGAGTGACCTTTAAACCTATTACCTACATCCAGACAGGCTTATGTTTGGAGAAAGCCAAAAACCACTTTTTAAACTTGCGGTGGATGTCTAATTGTTTATGGGATACTATACCTCATTGAGGTCATTAGGTCTCACGATCCCCCATGATTGTTGTATAACAGTCCAAAAATAGTTCCTGAAGGTAAAAACTACACATTTGTGTGAAACACAGACTGATACTCATGCCAAAACCTCTCAACCGCCACCTTCCCTTCAGGACCCTCACCAGTGCAAAATTTGTTTGACACACTCATTTCACTTCATAGAGCATATTACAGATGAACTGATCAGTGAAAAAAATGTGTTTTAAATACGGGAGACATTCGAACTGTGCAGTAATCAGGAAATATGGATCTATATATTATGTGCAACCCTGTCCCTGAAGGGCCTCCAGCAATACATATTTTGAATGGCTTTCTTGTCTCCCTTATAACCTCAACATAAAAATACAGTGCGGAAGTTGTAAGCATTACATATATAATTTTGGGTAGTCTGTCACTTACAGTTGCTAACAATATGTTGTTGATTTTTATACTGTTACTACACACCAACCTATTTGAGCTATTAAAATATTTGTGTTACTGCAAAACGTACTGATAATAACACTGCTGGTACAATGGAAGCCCACATGATGACCGACACAAACTCAGAACTGAACACAATCAGTGTAACAATTTAATTTTTTACAATATTTCACTGCAAAATATGCATGACGCATTAATATGTATCTTTTTAATTCCCTTGAAATCATGTTTTTTATTTTATTTTACATTATTTAATAGTAAAATTATATGTATTATCTTTTAAAACAATAACAATATGACATTTATCAAATGGTGGTAACTTTTACCGATTTGTACTTTTTTTAAATGACTTTTTTCAGGTCTTGGAGCATTAGCTGATGAGTTTAATCAGATGTGTGTATATATAACAGAAAACATACAAAATGTGCAGTGCTGGGGCACCTCCAGGACCCGGATCGAGAAACACTGATCTACATCAGCCGTCATCTGTTTCAGCACCACGGACAGCGACTATTCAATAAGACTCGAGTACAAGCATTCAAAAACACTTCAGGTCAACTTGCCCCTCAGTTATGCTGCAGGGCCCATTGAAATTATGTTTACAGCATCTGTGTGGTGGCTCAAAACAGAAAAGAAACCTCATAATGACACACATTCAATTAAATTGTTTCACTGTAAGGTGAATGAGACCCCTGGCGCGAACAATTATTGCACAAAGTTATATTACTTACTGCGTCGTGCAGGCTCTTTAGGGAACGGTCTGTGGAGATGGTCCTTGAGGGATGCTTGATATAACCACCGTGTGTGTACGTGTGCGTAGTAAAACGACAGGTAAATAAATATGGTCTTTTAATTGCTCGTGCTAGGCGTTCACTACGCACAGCTTCGTATTAAACTTCAACCACCAACTGTCTCTGTGCGCGTGCAATTGCTCTTGTACGATATTGCGTGCGTCGCGATTCGACATGTGCGAGATTGCTTTCAAATATTCGGGGGATTAAATAACAGTCGAATGTTTCTAAATAAAAAAATACTAATTTAAAAACAAGGTATATAGTTGTGCTTCGCGTAAATGTATTGCTCGATTACAACGACTGACAACAAATAAGATAAAGCGCACAAGCAAAAAGAAGCGATTACGAGTTGTATTGGACGCAAACGTTTACACACTACTGTTTACAAACGTCGGACGGACTGTCGTTTTTTCGGAAATCGTACGAATATCAGACGCTAGTGTACTTGCCATGATTCCGTCGTCTTAAAGACTTGCAGGTAAAAAATAAATACCAAATATCGATGGGAATTAAACGGCTCATGAGAGTATCCTCTGCGGACACTAGTCAGTAATTAATGTATATGATGTAACATCGGCAAAAAAGAAACACGGTAGCTACACACGGACGACGACAGCTCGCGGAGCCTCCCTCTCCTTTCCTCGCGCTCTCTGTACTGTCGCTCGCTCACTTACGACGTCACACAGGGCAGTGCTCCTCTCTCTCTTCTGCAGTCTGTAGTGTGCAGTCTGCTCACTACATGAAGACACCGCCGGTGAATAGAGTGGGAATTAAAGCGTTCATTGGCTGACGGAAAGACAGATGGTGCGCTCATATCCCAGATAAATAGTGCAGACCTCCTCCCTGCGCAGTGTGGATGAGCCAATGGAAACCCGCCGTCTCCAGATCTCCTCTTCTAGTGAAGTGTCACTTTGATGTATGTAGTCATTCTGTCACTGTATTATATTTATCCGTCGAATGGAGCATCTTGATTCTTTTCTGAGCTGAATGAAGCTGGAAAAACATGGCTTGTTGGCCTCTCAGCCTATAGTCTGTTGGCTGGTTTTATGGTGCTTGGTCTATAGCTGCTCCAGACGGGGAAACCAGCTGGCAGACCAGTTGAACACTATAGACTTGTCCAGGTTGGAAGACCATCTTAAATCAGTTAAGACTATAGCAAACCACTTAGGCTGTTATAAGATGTGTGTGTTTTTTTTTTAGCAGAGTTAATATTAAAGGTAATTTACTGGCATTGACGGTTCCACGAAGAACCTTTAACATCTATGAAACCTTTGCATTCCATAAAATGTTCTTTACAGAGAAAAAAAGTTCTTTAGATTTTATAAACGTTCTTTACACTAAGAAAAAAGGGTTTCAGAACTGTTCACCTTCTTTCGGGAATCAAAAATGTTTTTTTCCGCGCCATTGCTGCGAAAACCCCCTTTTGGAACCTTTATTTCTAAGAGTGTGGCTACTCTTTTTTATTACAGTGCTTTTAAGGCAGCACTGTATTGATATTCCTTAATCATGTTTTACTTCTGCTGCTGCTGCATGATTTTAAAGCTCAAATTACTTAACATGCCATTTAATACAATAGAAATCAAATATCCCATTGACATTGATATATTTGCATGCAGATTTGCGACAGGTCTTTTTTCAATGATTTATTTTCATATTGATTTATGACTGATTATTTTTTGCCAAGGGTGTGTTATGTGTCACAAGAACAGCAAAGCATCAGCACCAAAGCCTATAAACCTAAGCTTACCTAAAACTAAAGCCGTTTAGTTTGTTGTCCTATTACCCAGTTGGGAATAAGTATATTTTTTTAGCAATGGATTCCCTTAGGAATTGTAAATGGGTTTTCAGAATGGGAAATTCACAATTTATTAATAAAATGAGGGATGTGGTTAATATTACTTAAAGAGATGACTTTACAATAAGGTTCATTAGTTAACTACCTGAACTAACAATGAACAATAATTCTTCAGCATTAAAAATCTTATTTAATATTAATTTCAACATTTACTAATACGTTATTAAAATCAAAAGGTTGTATTTTAAAGCTGCCGTCGGCAACATTTTTTTGATCATATTCAGTGAAATCGACACTATAATCTGACAGAACAACATAAATAAAGTGGTTTTAGAAAAACACCCGAGCTTCTAACTCCACCTGGAGCGTGTTATTTGTTTTGCAAAAATCCACAGCTCCCGGATCATCGGGTCCAATCAGCGCAGGGGGGTGTGAGATCTGACTGTCAATCACAGATCGGGCACACGCCACCCCTCGCGCACGTTACAATCACATGCACACGCCTGAAGTTCGCGCAGTAACGAAGAGTGATGGCGGAAAATCAAGTAAGCTCATTTAGAGTATAAATGACGTTAGCAATTGCAATCTATCGGTAGATTAGCCAGGACAGCATACCTCCAAATACTCCATGGTGTTGATTGATGCTGATGAGACGGGCGCGTTCCAGGGCTCTCAAGTTTTGAAGACAGGTAAGAGTGACACCCAGCCGACGGGGGGTTGGATATATTTTTGTCATTGGTTGTTGCGTTAAATCTTACCCAGATACAATAGTGCTATTTTCTGATTGGCTATTGTGTAGCTCGACGAACAACACCAGAGGAAACGCGCTTGATTCATGCCGGTTCCACAGTGAGAGCGGCGCGGCCAGAGTTTTGGGCGCTGCGGCATATTAAATATATTACAAATAGTTTTTCAGCGTGAGAAATACAATCTGTGGCGGGAGAGCGTGACAAAAGACCGAAATGAGTGACTGTTCCGCTCAATGCGTGACACTTGAGAGCCCTGGCGTTCACTGAAAATCTGGTGCACACGCACTGACGAGCATGAACTCGGTGGGAGGGTATCTGTTGATAGTGGGGGAGGGGCATGAGAGTTGTAAACTTTCAAAATTTTCCTAAATCCACCCAATCTGCCAGACTTGCCGACTCCAGCTTTAACATTAGTTAATGTGTGAACATAAATAACATGAACAAACAATGAGCAGCTTTATTTTAATTAAGTAATATTAACAAAGATTAATAAATACTGTAACAAATATTGTTCATTGTCAGTTCAGGTTAGTTAATACATTAACTTACGTTAACTAATGAACCTTATTGTAAAGTGTTACCAAGAGATGTTTTGTTCAACAACATCAGTTATACGTAATCATAACTAACATGCATTTTTAGACATCGTTGTTTTTTTTACGTAACATGTTGTAGTCTTGTTACAGTCTGTAAAAAACAAAGGGCTTCAAAAAAAGAAAAAAACATCTTTAAGAAATGTCATCACACCTTTTTTTCTTCAATTTTCAAAAACTATTATTCTAAAAGCCTATAGAAAATTCCCAAGGGGACCCATGGTGAATTATTATTTTCCAGATTGGCCTGTGAATTGACGTTATGCCCAACAGCTGTGCTCTTTCCACATTTCCTTGAAGAAACATAAACCAAGTTCCCAGTTTCTTGTTTTGAGCTTGGGAATGGAAGGGTTCCTCTGTCAGAGCAATGCTCTAAATCCTGTGGCTCTGTTCTTGGCAGTGGAAGCCGAGAGGATGAGTCATGCTGGTTGAAAATGATATCTCACTACTCGATGAGAGCAGCATTTATCATGTGAGTGAGGGTGCATGCAAACATTTAATTATAGACCTAGTCCATTAGGATGTCAACACCTCAGCAGTCTCTTTCCCACAAAGTCAATAATGACCTTTAAAACTTTTTGATTTGCTGGGAAGAAATGCAATGCAATTTTCATGTTTGCAACTACTGTTGGTGCACCAAAGTAATCATATGGATGGCCATAAGTAAACCCAAAGCGCCGCCACATCTCATTTCATCCGAGGATCACTCTCAAACTCTTTTAAGCATTAGTTTTGTGCTCTCGCATTAGACGGAAGGGAAATTGGACAGTGTGCAGTGGGCTTCAGTAATTACTCATACAGACGCTGTCATACTCATGACAATAGATTGTCCTTGCTGAGCACAAACAGAGGAGTACAGTAGGATAGGGAGCACTTCATTATTCCCTGCTGCAAATGTTTCTGTACAGCCACTTTCAGGGAGCTCTCATTTACATATACATCGGCACGCGGTGGAGGAAAATCATTTACGTGAGTCCATAAGCACTATAGTTTTACTTTAGGGGACATGTATTTGTACAAGTGGTGCTGTTTCTACACACCAGTAGGCCTATTACCATTCATTTGGAAGAGGCTAAATGTATCTCTCTGCACAGTATTGGTTTACATGGCTATGAATAATTTGCAGTATTAATTTGAACCAATTATTATTAGTGGTGCTTGCTAAAACAAGCTTAACTCATCCTGCACCATATATGCTACAGACATGAATCATATCTCAAAATGTGCAGTCTGAGGTCTGCTATTTTTTGTACAATTAGATTTATGATTTTCGCCCAGTGGACGATAAAATGGAAAAAAAAAAATACCACCTAGCAACACCCTAACATTGTTAGAACTGCTTAAAAATCTATTGGTAAATAATGAATTCTTATATTTTCAATATGCTCATATGAATTGATATAATTAGCAAAACAGATGGATGGATGGATTTTAAAATAAGTATGAAGTTTGTGTCTGTGATCTATATACTTATCTACATAAGTATGTGTGTGAAGTTCTGTGAACCATAAATTATCTAAACAAATCATATTCATAATTCATCCAACTTCTGTATTAGGTCTGGGTCAGTTTTTCAAACCCAGGCTTCAGATAAATCTTTCCTAACAAGGCCAACTGTTACACCAACCAGAAGAATGAATTATCCCTCTCTTCCTATTTCTGGATCAATTCCATTCATCAGAACTCATTCATCACACTCAATTTTTCTTCAGCTCAGAACAAAGCCCTCCACTGGTCAATCTAATCCAAGGTTGTTCACAGACAGCTAAGATCAGTGAAATCACAACTAACTCACCTGGGATCTGTTCATTAGGCATGACACTTGAGTTCCTATCCTGGGACAAACTCAGTCAGTCTGCAACACGTAAGAGGGTAGCTGACAGCGCATCAAGCAGTGTCTTGTAGTGTGGCATGCAATAATTCCCCTGAAACTATTTTAAACAACATGTTTATTATAATTAGTATACATGCAGTTTATCAGTGCATATTATTTGATGGACTATAAGGAATATTTGTATTAAAAACTGTGAACTTAAAGAAATGGTGATGAATTACACTATCTAATATATATATATATATATACACTCACCTAAAGGATTATTAGGAACACTTGTTCAATTTCTCATTAATGCAATTATCTAATCAACCAATCATATGGCACTGTTGCTTC